CAGCTGTGGACAGCTCAGTTCTGTCTGCACGTGTAGCAGGGTTGAGCACATCAGAGAAGCAGGTGACGATCGAGGGGTGTTTTGATGTTGTAAGTAAAACCTCTCAAGTACACAAAAGCACCACAGAATCAAAGTGCTCAGTGAGCTCCTCTCCAGGGGAATCCAGACCAAGCAGGGACAGGTGGATTTGTATAAAGGAGGGAAACCCAGATGGACAAAAGGTACAAATGCACAACAAAGGGTAACCTTGGGCTTGACTGCCTGGAGTGCACTGATTGTGTAAATCAGCTGTGGAGTTTCTGAGCCCAAAAACATGTGTTTGGTTTAGAACAACATTACGTGGCAACACTCTGAGTGGGTCTGCACTGATAAGTAGGCCAATGTCAGAGCCCACGTGTCCCGATGGTGCCCTAAGTCCAGAAGAGCAGGTGGCCCCAAGGTAGGGAATGCAGAGGGTGATGGTCAAGCACTGTGCTGACAGGCTGCAAGCCACCGAGTGCCCTGGAAATAAGTGAACACACTCTTAGAAGGAATCTCCAGAAAATGATAACACAGGTAACAATAATGACGTATTTTTTCTAGGAGTATCTTCTGACTACAAAAACCACAACCTCAAGGAAGGCCCTGTCAAACAGATGTGCTACATTTGTAGCCCAGCTTTCCAACTGCAAAATAAAGTTAACTTGCTAAAAAACTTTCTTCTTAAGAAACTGTAAATATAACTGGGGAAAAAACTGTAAGTTTATACAAACATTATGACAGCCTTTTCTTTAAATGGAGACATCTCTCAGGTGAGCTGCAAAAGTGAAAAGCATGTATCTGCCCAGAAACTGACCTAGTAGCTGTAGCTAGGTGGCTTCTGGGATTTCCCCTAGTGTGATTTAATTCTCAAGTTTGGAATTTGTCCTGGCATAAAAAGATAAATACAATTCAACCACTCACATCCAATTTAACCTTTGCCAAGTCACAAAGGAGAGTAGCAATATGGTACTTCAAACTGCAAATGTTGATTTGTGTCTCTTTCAACTGAACTCAACTAAAACAGCAGGTACAGTGGAACTTTGACTTACCAACTCAATTCATTTCTGAGGTCTGGTTGTAAATCAAGTTGGTCAATTGAAGGCTCAGGCTCTTCTACACAGCCTTCAAAGTCTCTCTCCTGTACACAGGAAGATCTCAGTGTCCTTAGAGACACTGGCCCAGGATTTCTCAGTTAACCTCACACAGGAAAGGATGTTGTAATGTTCCTTCCAGAACGCTTTTTTTTGGTGGTACCAGGGATTGAACTCAGGACCTTGTGCTTTCCGGGCAGGCACAGCACCACTGAGCTACATCCCCAGCCCTTCCAGAACTCTTTAAGGGTTAAATCTACACCGAGACCATCTGGAAGGACAAGTGGCTGGGCATTCGGCCAAAACTCAAGACTTTAGATGTAAGTTAAAATTAAAATTCTGATCACAACCCAAGTTGTTTGTATGTCAGGTCCATTGTAACTTGAGGGTCCATTGTACTTTGGCTGAACTGTATTCAGAGGGCAATGACTCAGATCCACATACCTTAAAAAGTTATTCACAGTGAAGACTGAAGTTCAAAAACAATTTGTTAAATAGGTCAGTCTCGACAATAATCTTTTTAAAATGCAAGTTTCTCTGAAACCAGAATTACTGCTTTTTAATTTCAAATGAACATGGATACATAATTTTCCAAAAGTCCTGTGGTGACACTCATCTGATAGTGAAGGGAACAGGTATGTATATGAGGGCCATGCTCCTGCTCTGGTTTTATCTGAAATCTAAAGGACTTTAGGACTGCAAGGTTGTTCTAGGAGTCATCCACATTGCTGTGTCTGGAAAGTGTAGGGAAGGGAAGATGTCTGTGGAAAGGGAGGACGTGCATGTGGGGAGGGGGCTGCTCATGTGGTACAGGAGCAGGTGTTATGAGCGAGCTCAGAGGGGTCACAAGGGCAGGACCCGGGCCACTCTGACCCTAATGTCCTCATTCTTCCACCATACCCCCTCCCCAAATGGGGTACATTGTGAAACTGCCTACTATTAATGACAATTCATTTTGTTTATCTTTGCTTTTTGGAGACAGGGTCTCGCTATGTAGTTCAGGCTGGCCTCGAACTCATGGCAATCCTCCTGCCTCAGCCTCCCAAGTACTGGAACTACAGGTGTGCTCCACCACTCCTGGCTCTTATTTATCTTTTTATACTAAAAAAAAAAGCCAAACTTTTAATGTTTAAACAACTTTGTAGCACCCCTTGGCACAGGAAAGAGGAGGAAGAAAGAAGAGGACAATGTGAAATTTGGCCTATATTCTCCTACAGCCTTGCTCCCTGACCCCATAAAAATTATATATTAATTTATTTTTTCAGTTATCACAGCAAATCGACTCATTTGTTCTACAGTTTTAACATATGCAGAGATCTGTGGAGCCATAGTATTCCTTCCCCCTGATAGTCCCTCAAGTCACGCTTGCCACTTCCTGACCCTTGCCAACCAATGGCCTGCTCTCTGACCTCACAGCTCTGCCTTTTCCAGAATGTCATCATCCAGAAATGACATCAGACCATAGGCTGCTGTCGTGGTTTAAAGATGAAGTGTTTCCCAAAGACTCAAGTGATGAAAGATTGATCCCCAATGCTGCAATGTTCAGAGGTGGGGAGTAGAGGTAGAGGTTGAGTTCACAGCTGTGAGAAACGGGTCACTGGGGCCTGCTTTTGAAGGGCATGTCTTCCCGGCCCTTTGCTGTCTCTCTGCTTCCTGGTCACCAGGTGAGCAGCTCTGCTCTACTATGTGCCCTCTGCCTTGATGTTTTGCCTCACTATGGGCCCAGAAGCAATGAAGCCAAGTGACCATGGACTGAAACCTCTGAAACTGTGAGCCAAAATAAACTCTTCCTCTAAGCTGTAATTCTCAAGTAGTCTGTTACAGAGAGGGAAAGCTGAATAACAAACAGTCATCCTTAGAAACTGGCTTCTGTTGGTCCCCACAGTGCTTCTGGGATAACTTGTATTGCATATTCCAGGTATGCATGAACTAGTCTTGTTATTCATTTGCTCTGTGGAGAAAAGACATTTGGTTGTTTCTAGTTTGAGCAGTGATGACTAGAACAACAATGAACATTCAGAGATTTGCCTGTGGATTTAAGTTTTTATTCCTCGCGGGTAAACACCCAGGAGTAGGCCTGCTGGGACACAGGGTATATAGAGTTAAATCAAAAAGCAACTGCCCAACCCTTCTCGTGTGGCTGCATGCCATGCCTTCCCAGTGGTGTGTGGCAGTTCCAGTGTTACTCAGCCTTCCCAGCACTGGGTACCATCAACCCTCATTTTAGCCATTTTACAGGTATGCAGTTTTCACTTCCATTTGCCAAATGGTTAGTGATTTTGAGCATCCCTTCAGGTGCTTATTTGCCCTCCTACATCCTCCTTTGGTAAAGTGTCTCTCCAAGACTTTTGTTTAGTTTTCAGTTGGGTTTTAGTTTTTGAGTTTCAGTTGTTTTTACATATATTCCAGATACAAATATCCTCTGTCAGATTTGTGACTTGCAAATATTTTTTTCCACATGTATAGCCTATCTTTATACATTATTAGCTGTGTCTTTGAGAGAGCAAATGGTTTATGTTTGGATGAAGGAAAAGTTACCAGTTTTTCCTTGTGTGTATTATGCTTTGAAGGTCATGTTGCTGGCCCTGGTGCATGTCTGCATGATTGGGATGGCAGCTAACTATCCTAAGACCAAGGTCTTGGTTGTGGGAAGACCCTGGTGTGATAGAGAGACTATAGATGAGTACTGGAGATTCTGAACTAAGCTGAGGACCAGGTCCTTTTCAGTAAAACATGAGGGTTTGACTCAACAACTCAGTAAACAAAAGCAGAGCCTTGTACGCCACAGCTAAGAGTATGACTGGGAGGCTGGGACGCTGTCCTGCATATGGATTGACACGACAAGTGAACGGGAGCCCGGACAGCACATATTTTGGCCAGTGTTCTTCCAACTGGTGGTGCTGTGAGTGTGTCACTGCAGGAGTGTAGCATGACTGGTCATCCTGACAAAAAACTCCTGTATGCTTTCGCTTACACACAAAGTCAAGTGCTATTCTACGGAGAACCTTAGTAGATTTGTTTTGCCCATTTAAATTACTACAGAAAATTTATGTCTTGCCTTAAATATTATTTTAACATATGATTCTGTATATCAGGACTTGAAAAACAATCATGTGCCTAGTTAATTCTAGGCGACACGGAGTTCAGAACACAAGGTTTCACACAACTCCTCCATTTTTCCACACTGTTGAGATGAGTCAAGGTGAGTCAAGGAATCAAATGTACATATGAACAAATAAGCTTGAACAACACAAGTTAAGTTTAGAGCCGGCAATGCCATTTCAAACCCCAAATGATCAAGAGACAGACATGGTGTGGTTCATGAGCACGGGAAGTCTGGGGTGGGGGCAGCTTCTGGAACCTGTCGGCCTCAGACAGTAAAATGCTTGGGGCTGGGGCTGGGGTGGGAGTTACAAATTACTGAAGGGCAATCAAGTTTAAGAAAATACAGTCAGAGTGTCACTAGGATCTGGCTGTTTCAGCCAAGGGAAGCAGAGATAATCTGTGCCTACAATGCTGTGTCTGGGCTTGGCGTAAGAGTCTAGATTTTTTTGGAACCAGGGATCAAACTCAAGACCTTGCACTTGTGAGGCAGGTATGGCACTACTGAGCTAAAGCCTAGGCCCAAGTCTAGAATATTTTTAAATGTTCAAAAGAACTCAGCTTTTTGTTATTCTTCTTTGAATATGGCCCCATGTTTAGCTGCCTCCTATACTAAGCACCAGTGTAACCAGCACAAAATAGCCTTAAACAGAGAACAAAAGAATATAGCCACACGAAAGGGAACGTCCCCACCTTGACAGAAAGCACTGCTGAGAACCAAAAGCAGGAAAAGGAAAAGAAACCTTCAGATCTGGAAAGCCACAAGGGCTTCACAATTTTACTTACTTTTCTATCAAATCCAGCGTGACTCCAGGCACCAGACTAACACATTTCTGCATGCAAAACCTGCAGAGAAAGGAAAGAGAGTGAGTGGTGGGAATGGAATATTGAAGGAAAATGTGACTGTCCAGCAGAAGAGTGGAATGTGGGTATGGAGACTGTCCTGGCAAACAAGTAAACCTAGGTTTCCCTAATTCTGGCAGTGTTTAAACTTGAGAAGAAATGCCCAATGCCAACCTATCACAGTTGCTGGACTCCTGAGTCACAAGTGGAGTTGTCAGTGGAGAGGAAAGAGCAGAGAGCAGTTCCGAGAAGCCCCAGAAATGAAAGCTTCTACACTAACTGCTGCTAGAATGGACTGGAATTTCATTTTTTCCTCCTTAAGGAAGTGAGCTGAGGAGAATGACCCAAAGGCACACAGAAGAGGCTGGAGAAGACAAAGGAAAACAAATTCAATTATGTAATCATCATGAAATCAAAGGAGTTGCAACGGAGAGACTTCACAGCTGCAGAAAAATCCATTCTCAAGAGTACAGTACAAGCAGCAAGGCCTTATTTTACTTGGGTGTACTGACAGAAGGCAGGAAGCCACCTTTCATGCTCCTGTTAAGGCCACTGGCATGTAGTGGGGCAGAATCAATGGCAACCTTGCATAAAAAGGCAACTCTATGTTTTTAGTAGAGGACACACAAAATGCTTGATTCATCTATGCTGAAACTTAAGAACAAGTAACTCTTCAACAACAATAGCAGGTATACAACAAATACAGATGACCCCTGACTTATGATGGTTCAATTTGCAATTTCTCAACTCTGCAATGGTATGAAAGCAACAAATTCAGTCGAAATTATACTTTGAATTTTGAACTCTTTCCAGACTCTTGATGCAGAGAGCTGCAGCTCTCAGTAAGCCATCCAACCACGAGGGGAGACAACCTATACTCTACTAGGGGAAAGGGTAGTATGGCTAAAGTACGATGTTCCACAGGTTAGGTGTATAACGTGTTTTTTCCACTTAAGATGTTTAGAACATGCAATGGATTCTCTAGGGTATTTACAAAGTATATTTCCATGTATTGCTGGTGGACAGTATATGCAGGAGAGGGGATGAGGATGAAGTCGAGGTCACAATCAGGGCAGAAATGGACGTGAACTGCCCCCCCCCTTTGTGCTATTAGGGGCTGAACCAAGGTATTCACACTGAACTACATCCTCATCCCTACACCCTTGTCTTTTGAGACAGGGTCTCATTAAATCACTAAGTTGCCCAATCTGGACTCAAACTTATGATCTCTCTGCCTCAGCCCCACAGAGCGCTGGCATTCACCACCAAGCCTGGCTGGCAGTGACTAGTTTATGCCAGCAGAGAGGAAGCTATATTTTTGTTTGTGGTTGCAGCAGCAAGTGTTTTATTATTCAAAGAGCAAAAGAAATAAACATAAGGGCCATATTTTCCTGAGGGTACACGGCAGTTCCTCTACCACGGACCTCTCCACAGTGGCCTCAGTGCTCCCTCTGGCCAGCCGGTGGTTTCATTCTGAGAAGATCCCACCTTGCCTGCTTCTAGGGACCTCTGCAGTCTCAGCACCAGTGCAGACACACATGGCTCTGATAAGAGTTTCATATTAAGTCAAGATCTCTCAGGGGCTGACTGTATGATCTGTAGACAATGCATTTTGGGGTCTAATTCTGAGTTGTATGCAAGCCATGAAGCTTTGTTATTTGTCTTTTCACCCATAATGTCCTTATTGATTGGAATTTCTGCATTCCAGTAATGGTAGACTCGTTTGTATCCAACTAATTCTTTTGCCAATAACAATGAAAAAACTGTCGACAAGATTAAAAAAACAACAACATTTGGGAATACCAAAGAAATAAGTGCAAGCAGAAACTGGAGGGGTTATGATACTTAACATGAGAGACTCACTCTGTATGAGTCACTTCTACTGGCATTACAATTCACACAGCTCATGGGGACAGTACTCAGCTCAAAAGCATCAGGCTTTCTAGGCTGAGGAGTCAGAGTTCAGCAGCCAAGATTATCAGGAAATTGCAGGGCATAACCAGAGAAAGGAGGGAGCCAAATTCTGCATGTAAACTTTCTTCCAGCCCTGTGCTGGCTCATGAGTCACAAGCAGAACATGACACCAAGGATCCCAGTGGAGTACACCCTGGCCTGAGTGGAGATTTCAACATCTCCTGCCACTAAGAAGACAGAGAGGGAGGGCAAGTCCAGCCAAATTAAATGGCTTGATAAAACCTAGGGCTTTCCTGGGTCACCCTTAGTTCATGCCTTAGTTACAAGCTGCATCACAGGACTATGGGCCACAGCTTGGAATTAAGACCAAAAGGAAAGAGAGGAGTCCTGTAATCAAGCCTCTACAAGGTCAGCAGATCCTCCTGCAGGAGCAGAGCCACACTCTGCTCAGAGGACAACAGAGTGTCCCCTCCAAAATAGACAGTAGGCTATCTAAAGCCAGGAGATAGAACGGTCAGAATAAACAGATTTGGAATTAGCAGAAAGACAGTTTAAGATTATAAAAAAATAGGGCCGGGGCTTTAGCTCAGTGGTTCTGCCCACCTGCCTCAAAAGCATAAGGTCCTGAGTTCGATCCCCGGTACCAAAAAAAAAAAATTGATTACTGACTAAGAAATGAATATATAAATACTGAAAATATAAAGTTCTCTTAAATAGGAAATTAAACAAGGACATCACACAACTTTACATATCCATGCTATAGCTATTTGAGTAAGTGTAGCATGGATAAGTCAGCTACTAAAGTCTGTAACCTCACTGCTGCTGATAACATCAGCTTCCTCTTGCACGTAGTTGCTAACAAAAGTTTCATGTGGTTTTGTCCTGTGAACAACAACACTAATGGACAATAAGAAGCAAAGATTAAGCAAAAGCAGAAGCAATAAAAGGGCTCAAAAATTCACAAAACCAGAATAAGTAATTTTAATAATGAAAAAAATAACTGACAGTTCTTTAGTCTTTACTATTTGGCACTTGTTCTATATGCTTTATTCAGATTGTTTAATTGTCACAACATTCTATTAGGTACCAATACCCATTTTATAGACTGAGAACAGCTGTAAATTAGGAACACGTAGTGATTAAATGTAGGAATATTAAAGATGGCTAGATGTAGAGGCATGCCTGTAGTCCCAGTTATCCAGGAGGCTGAAGCAGAGGGACTGCTTGAGCCCGAGTTCAAGGGCAGCCTGGCCAACATAGTGAGATCCCATGTACTAGTCAACATTTTTGATGCTAGGACAAAAAGCCTGACATACACAACTTCAAGGAGAAAAGGTCTATTTTGGCTCATAGTTGTAGTCCATGACTGGCTGGCTCTGAAGCAGCATCATGGGTAAAAGGCCATAGGCGAGAAGAGCTGCCAAGCTCATCACAGCCAGGAAGAAGAACACAGAAGAGCCAGAGAGGAAGGGGCCAGGGTGGAGATATAGTCCCCAAGGCCATGCTCCCATGATCTAACCAGACACACTTGGAAGTTGTGCTTTTTTTTTGGTACTGGGGATTGAACTCAGGACCTTGCGCTTGCGAGGCAGGCGCTGGAACCACTGAGCTAAATCCCCGGCCTTGGAAGTGTGCTTTACTGACCTCCTAGGCATCTCCTGAAGCAAATAAATTGATAATCAAGATTAACACCTGTCTCAAAAACAACAACACCAAAAATACTCAAACCAAAAGCAAAATAAAAAATGTCTCAAAAACAAAATTATTGAAGACAGCAAAAAGACATGGAAACCTTTCAAAAAGACAGAAGAGATCCCTTTCAAAGAAACAAGAATCAGATTAACACAGAATGCAAGGACACAATGGAATGGTACATGTAACTTACTGAAGAAAAAGAACTTCAAACCTAGAATTTTATAATCAGCTGAAGTGACACTGAAATGTGAGAACAAAACAAGTGTCCTCAGGTACATATGGCCTCTCAAGGCTTGCCATTAAGAGACAGGAAGCTGGGTGTTGTGGCACACACCTGAGGCAGAATAGCCTCAAGTTCAAGGTCAGCCTTGAATTACACAGTGAGACCCTATCACACACACAAAAACAAAAAATAGACAATAGACAAACAAAAACCAACCAACCACCATCCCCCCAACACATAAAATAAAGATAAGGAAGACAGTTTTGGACAATGCACTTACGTTGAAGGACAGAGAAATCTGAGATGCTGAAATACAATATCCCCAAATTGAAAACCTAGAAAATATAATGGGATGGGATGGGAGGACACCACACATCAAAGGACAACTGTTATCAAAGATATGTTGTAAGGGCAGATTAGAGTGACATAAAAAACCCAGGGCAAGATTTGGATGACTGAGATAGTAGAATCATCACATGCTTATCTGTGGCTGATGATTATAAAATTGTCATCTGCTTATCTGTGTACCATGTGCTTGAAAAAAATATACCCTACTTTATCCTTATGAAAATGTTACTCATGCTTAAGAAATCGCCAACTGACCTTGACCCCTTCACAGAAACAAAGGCTGAGACTCTGATTGGCCTAGCCCAAGCCAATCAACAAAACAGTTTACCAGTGTAAGTATGGGCACATCTCATACTCACCAGGCATCCTGAGCAAGATGTCCCCTGTTTTAGTTACCTTTCCCATCGCTGAGACAAAATACCTGACATCCAAAGTTAGAGGGGGAAAGGTTTATTTAGCTCACAGTTTGTAGAGGTTTCAGCTCATAATCAGCTGGCTCCAAGGCAGGGTGGATGGCAGACAGGAATCGCAGAGAAGAAACAACATGGGGTGCACAGGTAGCAAAAGCATCGAGGGACTTTAACAGCTTCTTTCTGCCCCTTTTATCCAGGGTATGTAAGGCAGGTAGCATTCACACCCTTAACCCTAGTGCCCTTGAGCCTAGCATTGCACCATGAATCAGTCACACACTCTAGATTCAGCCACCTCTGAAAAGCCCCACCTATGACTGCATGAGGCTTTGTGGGACATCTAGACACAGCCATAATATCTCCTATCTTGTAGCACCACTCTGCTGCTAAGATAGCTTCTCTTCTGCTTTCTT